TACGTACGTAGTACCGTACCGTACCCGTACGGTACGGTACGTACGTACCGTACCGTACGTACGTACCTACGGTACGTACGTACGTACGTCGTCGTACGTGTCGTCGTAGTAGTAGTAGTAGTAGTAGTAGTAGTAGTAGTAGTAGTAGTAGTAGTAGTAGTAGTAGTAGTAGTAGTAGTAGTAGTAGTAGTAGTAGTAGTAGTAGTAGTAGTAGTAGTAGCAGTAGGCCTAGTAATAGTCGTCGTCGTCGTAGTAGTAGTAGTAGTAGTAGTAGTAGTAGTAGTAGTAGGAGTAGTAGTAGTAGTAGTAGTAGTAGTAGTAGTAGTAGTAGTACCGCTACTTCTACAGCGACGACGACGACGACGTCGATGACGACGACAACGACAACAACAAAAAGAACAACAACAGCGGTAACAATTACAACATCGACGGCTACATCATCGTCATCAGCAACAACAGCAACAACAGCAGCAGTGACAATAACAACAACAACAACAACAGCAGCAGTGACAATAACAACAACGGCGATGACGACTACGACAACGACGACGATGACGACGGCAACGACGACGACGCCGACGACGACGACGACGACGACGACGACGACGACGACGACGACGACGGCGGCGGCGATAAACCACGTTCGTGACTCACACACCCTTCTAATTTTACCAGGGTGTGAAGCTGAAAGTGGATAAGGACGGCAGCATCATGTGTAAACGCATGGAGGGCAGCCAGAAGGTGATCGTAAAGGGTATCGAGAGCCCAGACAAGTGCAGCTATTCACAGAGCGTCTACGACATGGAGGGCGTGCTCGAGGTCGACAAACCGGCAAAGGTGCGCATGCGCGCGACGCGGCTATGTTGGTGGCAGGCAGAGGCGCGAGGGCATGCTATCACATTCGCACCTTTCGCATTTATATTCGATTTCGTGATAATGTGACTATAATTTCCCGATAATCTCGCTCGTTGTGATTGCACGCGATAACGCCTTCTGTCGTTACTAGATTCCCATGAGACCCTGAACGTACTCGCAGCGGAAAGCCGGCTCCGTGGCCTATGACCGTTGGTTTAGCTATTTGAGTCGCTGGCCAGCATGCGCAATTGATATTTTGTTTCGCGTCACAAGTCGCGCTCATTCAGTTCCTAAGGCCGGTAAAAACATAGAGATACCCTCACATCAAAATGCCTTCGCTAAATCGTTGCTAAATCTTCGCTAAATATTGTTCCATGGGCACGTCTGCACGACCTCCAGCCCCGCTAACACTCTCGCCCATGTCCTCACCCTCATACTCTATTTCATACCTCTACCGTCATTACTATCACTCATGTTCCACTCTCACGCCCTGCATTGTGAGGTATTCTTACACCAATTTCTCCATCTCCACCATCCCATATCGTGTTTCTCAATCATCTATACCGCCACGCAACTTCCCATAAGGGATAAGAGGATTTCTTAGCATCATAATTATGTGAAAAACGACACGTCATCGGGAATGATTTTTCTCGGGATTTCTTTTTTTCTCGTAATTTTTTCGGGATTTTCATCGGAATTTTCTGAACATCATAATTATAAACAAAACGAAACGTCATCATGAATAATTTTTCTCCTCGTGCAGATCTTCGACATGAAGGAGTTTAAGAGGAAGGTGGACGACGAGCTGTCGCAGCCCTACCACAACAAGAAGAAGCTGCAGTTCCTCTGCTTCGTCTCGATCAGCTTCGTGGTCGACACCAAGACTCCGCTGAAGACTCCCTGCTGGCTGCTCATTCTCAACATCAGCGCTCTCGATTATCTCAACGACATCATGGGTGAGCTATACGCACAATTTTATATGTGTGCACAGATAATCCTGGTAACTAACAATACACTTTCAACAATACAGTGTGTATTGTTGAACACCTTCTAACAATACCCTGTGTATTGTAGTAGGTACCTAACAACTGTGTATTTAAATTAAATTTCATTTTTAATAAATTCAATCAAATCAATCAAATAATTCCAATAAATTCATTTAAATAAATGTCAATTTTAAGTTTACAAATCAAAAAGTAAACTAATTAAAAAAAAAGATTTACAAAAAGTGTATTGTTAGAAGGTGTTCAACAATACACAGTGTATTGTTGAAAGCTCGCTAACAATACACAGTGTATTGTCAAATGCCTAAACATACAACACACTGTGTATTGTTAGCTACCAGGATTATCTGGTGTGCAATGTAGGTGGTTACGTGCTTATACGTGCTTTGGTGCGTGAGTGTGTACGTGCGCCTGTGCGTGTGTATATATGCGTGAGTGTGTACATGCATACGTGCGTGCGTGAATGAGTACGTGAGTGCGTGCGTGAGTGCGTTTGCGCGTGCGTACATATGTGCGTGCGCCTACACGCGTGTGATCGTGTACAGCTTATCATCAAGTAATTATTTGTAAATTGCCTCTTGACATTTTAATGCACTAGGAGAATTATCTAGCAACTACAGACTAGCTACCATCATCATTTCACTCCATCTCTCATTTCATCGTCTTGCCTCGCATCGTATTGCATCGGACCTCATCCTCATCGCATCCTTGCTAAATTTATTTTCACGCTAAAATTATGTTCGTCCTCTTTTCGCAGCCGTGAGAAAGAGACATTCGTCGTCGCACTCCGGCTCGCTGATGGATGCGAAGCCGTACACACGCTCCGTACCGGACATGTCTTACAGACAGAGCATGGAGCTGGACAGGCGGCGAGTAGCAGCGCCCTCTCCCTCCAACAGAGACAGCATCGGCGAGAGCTACACGCCACCGCCGTCGCCACCGTCGCCAACGCCCATGAGCGGCTCCCAATACCTGGAGGCACCTGTCAACGGGATGAACGGAGTAAGGGCGGTGCGCGGCATGTCCAAGCGGTCATGCGTGATTATTCTGTGTTTGCGAATTAAACGTGCATACTGTGATTCAAACTTTCGACGTATTGATTGTTAAAGCCTGCGCGCGTGGGGTTTAATGGGGCGTGCGGGTATACTTGTGTTTTGTGGGCGTTCGTGCGGAAACGTTACTCGGCTAATCTGGCCTTGAGTAGTTATGTCACACACCTATACCTTCGCATATATACATATCAGCTGTAAATATTATAGAAGGAGTATAACACCTGTTTTATTGCGCGTTTACTGGTTTTGGTTGCCTGGCGCGTTTTGGCATCCATTGTGAGTACTTCTGGCACACACCTACCAACACATCACCTGTTGCGCATACAAATGCACGTGTTTGCGTCCTTTGTTTACAGTACAGCCGACAGGACCGAGCACGCCATAGTATATATGACAAACCACGGTCCCCACATCGGTCTATGATGCACATTCCCATGCACATGCCCTACCAGGAGCCGATCTACGTCCCGACGGGCTACCCAAGCTATGGCTTCCCGCCTTTTGTGGGACCCAGACCCGAGTTCAGGAACGTCTACCGGCCAGAGTATATGG